TCCACGCAAATCTTTATAAGTATACATTGTATACTATACAACATAATATAATTTTTTCATTATAGAAGTTTATTATTTCTAATATTTTATAATATTAAAAAAAAAACATCCTATCCCTTTCTTACTTCCTTAACATTTTATCAACTAATAATTTTAAATAAAAAACATAATTACCTGCCCACAGGAGTGTGGGCAGGTAAAGTGTGAAATTAAAAAAAATACATTATGCATCTATAAAATTTATTATTATTTTTTTCCAGAATAAAATTTTTTAGATACCATAGTCAATTTTGAATAGCCTTATTTAAGAGTTTCATTTGATNATACCATAGTCAATTTTGAATAGCCTTATTTAAGAGTTTCATTTGATATTATACAATTATTTTCAGCATCACATTATATTTGTTAATAATAGAATAATATTCTTGTTTTTGAAATACTTTAATATTTGTTATATACAACTGATTAAATTTTGTGTTTTTTATATAAATTACGCATCTAAATGTTTTTCGTGAAAAGTCAAAGTTTAATATAAATTAATTATGCTACAATAATAATCATTTATATCAATAGAAAATAAAATTTATACTGCATACTTATGACTTGTAAAATAAAAATTTATACATTACCTTTAACTTTTGTTCAAAGCCATGCCTATGGCAGCGTCAGTGATGACACATCTCTCAATTTTATAATTTTTTTTGGCCACTTTTCAACATAAATAGGTGTTACAGAAATGTCACGTTCTAAAAAAAAATTTCAGTTATTAAAAATAATTTTAATTTCATATTTTTAGCTTCGGAACGGTCTTTATGAGTTTGATATACTTACTTACTGAGGAACTAAGTACGGCGGCACTTAATGAAAGCTTTCAAAAAATAGAAACACTATTAATTATATATCTGCAAAGAGCTTTCCCACTAGAATCCTAACAGTTGTCTAAGCTGTACCTTAACGGGGCAATGCTGGTCCTATATAATTTATATTCCTCTAGAAGGGCAGCTAGCGGTTTCGTGACCAATAAATATAGACTCACAGCTAACAACGATAGCAAGCATTTATTTCTATTTAATAGTATATTTAAATAAAACCTGACTGGATCTCTATGATCATTATGTTACATGACATAATAGAAATTTGCCGTTTTTTAGCTGTTAAATTTATTTTCGTAATAATACCATTTTACTTGCATGCCAGAAACCATAGGTACAATGTCAAGTAAATTAATGAATTAAAAACTTTGACGAAAATAAAACTTATATCAATCTGTATTATTCAAACTTTTAAAAACAGTCGAGGGGATGTTAACTTGTTATGCAAAAGCTTTAGATTTTTTTGATGTTTAAAATTGTGTGAAAATAAGAATGTATTAAGCAAGCAAAAAGTGCGAAAATATTCAAAACTGTTCATATGTTATGTGTTCTATACGCATAAACAATACATATTAATTATATTAAACAAATATATTTTTATAATTAACTTTGTAATTTTTATATTTTTTTTAGTTAATAGTAAAATTTTTCAATTTCGCAAATATTTAGTTATTACTGTTACTAGTTATATAATAATACCATTTTACTTGCATGCCAGAAACCATAGATACATTGTTAATTAAATTTATGAATTTAATCAAAGTTAAAAACTTTAACGAAAAATTTATTCTAAAAATTAAAATCCTCTCCTTACTTCAAAACTCCAACTCAAAACAAAACTTTTACTGTACAAATCTATAATACGTCCAGTTTGGTCTAATGGAATCCAAATCTGGGGTTCTGCAAAACCATCAAATATAAGGCCAATTCAATCGTTTCAATCAATAGCACTCAGACTTATTACCAAATGTCCATGGTATATAACAAACGTAAATTTACATAAAGACCTACAAATACAAAACGTAAAAGAACTTGCAGTAATGTACTACAAACGATTTCATCAAAATTTATTATCACATAGAAACCCGCTAATTAATAAAATGTCAACAAATACTTTACCCTCAAACCCTCCTCGCAGACTAAAACGACAATGGAATAGAGATCTACTAAATAACTAAAGACTAACTTAAACAGCATGCTAGAGGTGTGACTAACGAGTCATTTCCCAATCATAATAGTTCATGTTATTTTAATTATCAATTTAAACCAAATTTACTTATTGTACCATTTTGTTGTATAGATTGTAAATATTCTGAATAAAAAAAAAAAAAAAA